AATGTTTGTGTANGTTTGCTCAAATTTGAGAAAGTTCATGAATGTCCGCAAACTTCGGTATAAACATAGTTTATCGCGCGCCCAGTTTGTATGACTTTGCGCCGAATCTCCTACGCCAACTAAGTTCGTATTTCGTCGTATTAGGTCGAGCCCCAGTGCATCGGTAGAACCGACGTGTCACTCGAAGTAAGAAGTTTCTAGTTTACGAAACTGGTAGATCAGATTGCGGCGCAGATCGATGCTTCTACATTTCTCCCAAACGGCTGCGCGCGGAGGCTGTCGAAGTTTCGACATTGTCGATTCGTTAAGAACGGCGGGCGAAGTGTGCAACGTGCTAAGAATACTGTGCGCAACGTTATGAAGTAATCTATCTTTTTATTTTGTTATCAGTAGTTTTTTATAATAAGAAAAAATGCATATATATATATATATTTTGAGGAAGTCTATAGTTAAAAAAACCTAAGTCTATGCCTACTATAGTTACAAAAACCTAAGATTAACCACTAACACAAAATCAATTAATTACATTTAATTTAATTAAGTAACTAATCACCCTTTTTTATTTAAGATACAAAAGTAATAAAATTATCAATATAAATGTAATATAAATGTTTTTATTATATATAAAAATGCCAAAATGTGTATTATCAACTAAATTTTCAAGAATAAAATGAACTTTATTTATTAATATAAAAGTTTAAACAGATTTATATGGAAAAGTTTAAGCTAAAGGTTATTATTTATTAAAGATAATGAAATACGTGTTTGAAAAACAAATTAAAATCATCCCGATTTATCACTTATGACAAATAAATATCCCCATGCAAAATTCGAATAGTTCGTTGCAAAGAATAAATTTGCATTACNAAATCTGCTAATTGAAGAAGACATTTTCTTCGTGATTCTGTTTATCTGCGTATTGTGTAATACCTACTTGTAATTGAGCCAGTGTGATTCATCCGAACAGATCTGAATTTTTTCTTGAAATAAAATCTCAGCCAAAGCAAACATGTTTACGCATCTTGAGATGCAATAAGAAAGTCGATATCGTAAAAAGAACATAT